GGACCTCCACGACCGATCCATTTATTTGCAAAGTGTTGATTTAAAAATTGCCTAGCCACTCGGCTAAAATGCGGCGGAGCTTCATCATGCGTAAACCGCGTACGAATAATCTAATATCGACTGGAACTTCCTCTAATATTTCGTGTAAACGCGTGCTCAAAAAATCGACGTACTTTGTGCCTGTTAGTTTCCCATCAAGAGAAAAAGGTCCAATTAAAAATTTATCAATTATTCCTGCCCATACGTTTAAACTAAATTGGTGTTGAAGTGTGAGTTTTCTTCATCCCAATTATGATTATTATGAAAATTGAATATATCCCTGGTAAAACTAGCTTACTAAAGTTTGCTCTGTTTATAAAATTCATTATATCTCATAAACGAAGACAGATAGGACATATATTTATATGACTTTTTTTCATTATTTTTAGGCATACAATCAGCTCCCGAAGTGGATCCCACAAGTTACGAAACATTCTGTATGTAATGATCAAAATATAGTATTGTACTATGTACATATATATACATATATTATGTACAGTGGGGAGCATAATGGATGAAACGATGAAAAATTGTCGACAATTCGAAATGTTATAATGTTATAATATCGCAACAATTAATATCATATAATGTAACTTTGTAGCAATTAAATATCGTATAACAATTCGGTTTTATTTTAAAGCGTGAAACCTTTACTTTAATTAATCGAGAGTACGTTCTTTTGAGAGATAATTTTATGATACTTCCTTCTCGGAAATTGTAAAAATTCAAAAGTGTCTGAAAACGTCAAAAAAAAATTTTTCATGATTACATCCACCCATGTACGCAATGTGAAATAATTTTTGGGGAGAAAAAAGACTCAGAACAGTGAAAATACGACAAGATAGATTGTTACACAATTTTTTTTTTTTTAGGAAGTTGTTACAGTTTAAATTGAATCGACAATTAGTTCAAATACGTTTTGCATTGTACGTAGTGACGAGTAAAAATATTGCTAAAAATCGAATTATATTGATACAAAGTCGCGCGTAAATTTGTAAAATGCACGATTCTTCCTAAACATATCCTCTTCTCTATTTTTGAACCGATACAAAATTAATGGATTAACCTAGAAGTCGCATATATAAAAATATAGGAATTTGCATAAATTTGCTCGCACTGTGGTTACAGGGCACTTCGTCATATTACAATATCCGAAAAGTTGTAATTCATTCGCTTTCGGAGCCACCTGTACCAGGTGGTCGATCCGCCTCTAGAGGCGGCGATCGAGAGAATTTATCGAGAGATAGATCGACGTTTTTACCGTTCCGGGGCAACGAATTGGCTGCGGTGGCTGCGTCGCGTTATTGACGTAATATCGTTTCTTTCCCGGCAAAATATCGCGACGTTTTGGCGAAAATAAGCAGCACGCTGGGGAATTTGTTTCCCCGAGTGAGCGCCGAGAGACGAAAATATTTTTTACCGCTTTACTTTCTGGCTCACCGCCTACAAAAACAAAACACTTCTGGTTCCCACCCTCGAAAACCAGAAAAAAAAACAACGAAAAATTTTTATACGTTTTATTCAACCGTTACAAACACTCGTAACGAATTAATTGAACGCTGCCTGCTCTCGGAGCTGAAGTACGAAAAGTCAAGATCGGCTTGTTCCTTTGATTCGATTCGAGATTGCAATAATATTTATAATGTGACTCTTGATGGAATCGGGTAGAGACGAGGCAATTGCGTGGAAACGAGGTAAAGTCGTGAAAAGGTTTTCCTTTGTACAAAGCTTTCCACTCCCTCCTCCCCCTCCTATTCCCGTTTCGTGAAAACCGACTTTGAAAGTCCGCGCGATATGCGCGCACTCGACGCGGCTTGCTTTATCAATGAAGCGTGCACTCGACGATTTTCAGAGTAATCTTCCACGGAACACGTTGTATTTCCACTCCGAATATTTCTCTGTGTTTCTTTCATAATTTCCATTCAAAGTACCAGACTGATATCGTTCCCTTTCTCCTCCCATCAAACCCTTTTCACCGATTTCTTTTTATTAGCCCTCGAACGAGGGCAAAGGCTGGGTCAACTCTGGATATTTCGCATTTATTGCCTCCTACGTCTTTCTGCTATCAAATTATTATTATTAAAGGAGCGTCAAAGGATCTAAATGATATTACTTTCAACTAAAGTCCGTTTAATCTCTCGAGGAGTAATTTATTTATTCAATTTCCCGGCAAATATGTTTCTTTCGTTAGAGGAATTTAGAACGGGCGTGTGTCAGTCAACGTGATGCTTTTTGAATGAATTTAAACACTGAAAAAGCTCTCGCCATCGACACTTTTCACCGTTATAAAATATAACCTCGTGACAAGAATGATCCAGCATCCACTAAGTGAGGATTAATCACTTAATATTTCAGCCCCTGAGTTAGGAGTTGCGCCCGGTGCGCGTACGTTCTTTAACTGACGATTATTATTACATTGCGGGTTTTTTATATGAAATTTCAAAAGCACACGCAATGTACACACGACGTGCAAGAATATATAAAATATCCGAACTATTCATTGTGATATACATACACATACAGACAAAACAATTTTCTAATTAGGTCCCATCCTCTTCAGTTCTACATTCGCGAAAATTTTAAAATGCACGAAACTTCGCACAGTATACTTCACGCTATATATTTTTTTAACAATTAAGTTTTCATACGAGTTTTCCAACTCTTGCAAAAATTTTTATCCTCTGTCCCAACCTCATCGCTTTGCACATCTCTTCTTTATTTTTTTTTTTTTTTTTTTTTTTTTTTTTTTTTTTTTTTTCTTTTAATCTTAGAACAGATACATTCAATCAAAATTCACAGAAAGGAAAAACAAGTGGGTATTTTTCGAGTGGATTTCGATTTTGCCGGAGCCGTCGGGAGTTTTAGCACGGAAAAACAACGTAACTCGATCAACTGTACACACAATAATACACACGTACGTACATACATACATACGTACATGCATGCACACATAGTACATGCAGGTTCGCACGCGTAATCGCCAGCTCGCACGGAAATCGAGCGAATCGTCTTCTATTTAGATTCAGGGAACTCGGGATAACTTCGTTTCGTGTCTCGAGGTTCGTCGACGGCTCTGCTTCCGGGTAGAGCGATAGATTTCCGTGGCAAACTCTCGAATCGAAAATTGTCTCGCTTCGAGCAGAAAGAGAGAGAGAGAGAGAGAGAGAGAGAGAGAGAGAGAGAGAGAGAGAGAGAGAGACAAAACGAGGGAGAGCCACCGACGAGGAAGGAAGAAAGTAGGGTAGAGCTATCTATTTCCGTCATAGCCGTCGTCTTCGTCGAGAATTACACCGTTTCGACGATTTCATAATTTCCGGACGCGCGCGTTTCCAACCCCTCCCTCACCCCCTCAGCCCTCACCCCTCTTGCCCCACGGTTTCTATAAGGAAGGAAAAACTGGGTCGTCGAACTTCCACCGCGGGAGAAACCTAGGGCGCCGCTTCTCGCTGGATTTCGTATCGCCTGGCGATTTTTAATCGCGTAAAGCTGGATGAAAAACGAAAGTCCGGGAAAAGAAAGGGACAGAAGGATCTTGGACAAAAAGGAAAAAAAAAAGAAAGAAAAAAAAAACAGAAATCGAAATGGAGGCAGCACGTGGCGCGCGTGGTACACTTGACATAATTCACCGTAATTGGTCGCCGCGGCGCTTCCTCTTTTCCCGGGTTCGAGCGTTTTCTCGCCCGCGGGGCAATTTACACGGAGCGTTCTTCATAATTAATCGAATGACACACGATTGCCGCCAGAACTACCAAAGTAATCGAAATGACCAATTATTTATAATTTATATACTTACAACTTTATAATTAATATTATAAGTGTATTATACGTATCAGTGTGTGTATTTATAATTTTACATATAAAAGTTATAATTGTACATATAAAATAGTTGTAACTAGTATAGTTGTAACTAGTATAAAAGTTATAATTATACATATAAAAGTTATAATTTTGTAGAGTATAAAATTACATATAAAAGTTATAATTTTGTAGTGTATAATTTTACATATAAAAGTTAT